TGATGGGTGGTATGGTTTTATTATTTATTTGGTTACAGTCTAGTGGCCTTTCGGCTGGTGTTGCACTCTGATGGGATATTTCTGTGTGTTTTGAGAGGGGTGATGCGGTGGGGTCTACTGTATCTTTCACAGGGTTGGGAATAATGGCTGCTTGCAATGTCCTATTACCTATTTCACAATTAGTCTTAGTGAGATAGTTGTGTGCGCGCCTTTCTATAACTGTTTTTCCACCCCGACCTTTATATGTTTGTAGTTTCTGGCTTGCGATAGGGTGTGTTGGGAGTGAATGAATTTTCTGGTCTCTGCCGGTGTTTCGAACTGAAAACGAATAGGACAACACTTTTCATGTTGACTCTTCTTCAGCCTATAGCACTTAGTCTTGGAGTTAGGCATTTTCGCTTCACTAAGTAAGATGCGCTGTACCTTTTTTAGTGCCTCATTGTCCGGAACGTTGTAGACAATAGCACTCAGTTTTGCGTCGAGTCGTTTTGTTACTTCTGTGGTAACAAAGTTAATGAGGTTATCTACCTTAGTTACCGATTCTGTGTCAAGCTTGTTAAGGTTTACCGTTTTCATGAGGATAGTTAGAGGTGTCAGTTCACAGACCTGCGATCTGATATCGCTGATCTGATCTGATAATTTGGATATCTCGGTATTGGTTTCGATGTTTCCAGCATTTACTGACTTGCTGTTTTTTATTTCCCTTAACTCAGCCTTAAGTTCTCCTATAGACAACTTTAGAAGTTCTATTTCTGAAGATAGTACTGAAAAAGAGCTTGATGGCTGGAGTTTCTCCATAAGCACATAAGGTGAAGGGAGGAGTTCTGTATGAGCAGAGGGTACCGAATTTTTAGGAGTAGTGCTAATACTGGCTGTCAGTACAGTTTTATTTTCAGTTTCAGCTCGACGCTTACGGCATACACGTGAGTTATGTGACTCACTATAGCCGTTTGTTGGGGGGTGTTGCTTGATGTAGCAATCAAGGACGTTAAATTAGACACCAGTTTTACAGGGGATTGGGTTCGTTGCTTTTTACTTTGATTAACCATAACTATTAGAAATGAGAGTTAGTGGTTACAAGTATGGAAGTGGTATAGTACTTGTGCAAGTACTACAACAAGATAAATTTTATGTAACGAATCACGTAAAAATGTAACGCAAACGTTGAACGTACCGCGATACAGAGAGATGAAACACAGATGAAACACAGAAGCAGCGTCTACCCTTTTGTAAGGAAACTGCTTTGGATCGTTTGAGAAGCTTAGGGAGGGAACGAGTTTTTGTAACAGTAATTTCTCCATTCGTTTCAAAAAAGGAGAGGTAATGGCAATTGGTCTAAACTTAACACTATCTCCAGAACCAGACTAGGGTACAGGGATGATTTTAATATCTTTCCGCAGAGAAGGTACAACATAATTAGAAAAAGAAGTATTGAAAATGCTTGTAAGTGGGTTACTTAAAATATCAGCACATTTCTTTAGAACAGTGGCAGGTATACCATCAGGGCCTAGAATCTGGGAAGGTTTAAGAGATTTCAAACATTTAAGAACATCAGAAGTATTGAAACTATGAAAGTCACTGGTCGTCTTATTAGTTAAATTTAAGGCAGAAGGGACATTTGGAGGGCGGATAAAAGATCTATTAAGAGCATTGACATCAATAGAAGAAGCAAAATTATTATGCTTACCACAACCTGTAATTTCTCTGAAAAGCTTCCATATGTTTTCTGAGGTTTTACGAGACAGTATTGTTTGATTATAAATGTTGTTTAGTCTCTTGATTTCAGATTAAATTTGGATGTTTATCTTCTTAAGACCAGATTTATTCTTTGTCTTGTACAGCTTCTCTTTTTCTCTACGAAGATTTTTGAGATGAGGGGAAGAAAAACGATCTGGATAATCTGATGACTTACAAGAATACGTTGATTTCGATGAATTGCATGAGCGATCTGAACTCAAGTTCAGTCCTAGAGGTGATAGCGAGATGCCTAGCTACTCGACTGCAAAGGAAGTGGGTGAAGATTAGCTCCCGTATAGAGGATGAAGGTATTGAGCCAAAGTTTGATGATATTCTGAAACTGGTAAAAGATAGTGTCAATCAAGCTATGAGCAAGTTTGCCAGTATATTGCATCCCACTCCTAGAATTGAGAAGTCTGAGAGCAAAACGCAATCATTAATGAAGAAAGAGTCTCGGAAAAGTAGATGTCGAGAAAGCTTTATGGTGTCTAGAAATCCACATAAACTTAGCGAGTGTCCCAGCTTTCGTGGGACGTCCCAAACAGATAGGGTAAAGTTGCGGGACAAAAACGGTTGTGTTTTACAAGTGTGCAAGAAGTACATACAAAGGGGAACTGTAAATCAGTGACCAAGTTTAGTGATAAGCTTAATGTGAAATCAGAGTCATCAAGGTCTGACTACGAACTGTGTGACGATAATGGTGCAGTGAAGAAGTCTGCAGTTGCAACTGGTAAGCCATTGTTGAATATCGTCACAGACGAAACCGCAGTTTGTGCAGGAGAATAGAGTTGCAGTTTCAGAGTCCAGTTCTGACTTTACAAGTTTTCAAGGTATTACTGGTCAGAGTAAATGTATAAAACACTTAGGCATTTGTGAGGAAGAACCTAAATTGTCTACTACTGTTATTAGAGTTTGAAAACGATGAAGTCGACCAGATAGACGACGGCAAAGTGAATATTTGTGACAATGATCATGATAGTACACTTATGTCTTTGGCTGATCATGACTAGATGAGGAGAATGGCTACTACTGCTGAGTTGGACAAAGGTCCTGTACATCTTGAACGTGAAGTAGAATTAAGAGCAGATGCGGTGGTAGAAAATATGGATACTCATGATAACGTCAGTATAAATGATCAACCCACCTGTCAGCAGATGCTGGTGCTAAACCGGAGCTAATCATGAAAGATAGTAGTAGCAGTGATCCCTACGGTTAGACAAACTCATAAAGGTCAAGCTTCTAATGCACCGATATGTTCATCAACTTATGTCAGTCAGTCGTCGTTGATGTTGTCATCTACAATGGAAGGGACCTCCATGAACTCATGTGTCTTATGCTATGACTATGCTAGTATAGGTCCGTTCGAAAGGACGAATGTCAGTGATCAGTTTAGTGAGGATAAGCCAACTGTGTATGAGAATGTAGTGGTTAAACTGACTTGCATGAATAAAGGCATTTCTTGTTTCAAGTTACTATTTGAATGTTATTATCTTTGGTGTAAATTACTCTGCGCCTACGCTTGGTTGACCAGATACGTCGTGTATTTGTTCGTCATCTATATTCTACGATACAATGACATGAGCGTGTCACTGTTGAGAGTTGAGGATATAGATGATGGTAGGAGGTCAGCATATGAAGTGAACGACGATTTTCCAACTTAAGGGAGTCAACCTGAGAATGGTTGTAGGCGTACTGCTGTAAGTCCTGCAATTCTTCAGAGGAATTCCATCAAGACATGATCTGCGAGTTTGTGTGTACTGTTTGTATATACGTGTGGTGTGTCATATTGGTATTTTGTGCACAAAAATTTCAGCAGTGTCTAATTCGGGTTTCAATATTTCATTGTACGTTTACCTGTTTCGTTGGGTCTGTGTACATGCCTGATTTCATCAGAAATATTCTAATCATCTTTAGTTCGCTGCTATTAATAGTCTTGTCTTGGTGGTCTTTACATAGATCATCGCAAGTTTTCACAGAGCAGGGAACTACTAACGGCGGATTACCAGTATCATGACTGTTTTAGAAAACCATCAAGATCAGATAAAAATACAAGAAGTAAGAAAAGATAATCAAAATGATAACTTTGGGAAAACATTTGGACATGCTGGAAGAGCCGATGCAAAGGCAGCAATGTGTGCATTATGTTGCCTCCGTAAAACACCTATAGCAGGAAGTTTACCATGAGTACATCACGAAGAAACTTAATGTAATTATAGCTCCACAATGCGGATATCCCATGTGAGGAGATTGGAGGATGAAGAACTGAGGGAAATTACTGAAACGTTGAAAGCGGATGGAACATAAAGATTCTGCCGCAGGGAATGGACGTTTACTCCCAAGTGGAACATACTACACAGCACAGAACCGTGATCGAGGACTCTTGATATATATGCCAGTACATGTTAGGTACTCATAATTGAGCTCTTGAAGCCTTGTGTTAACTCATAATTGGGCAGAGTATAGGTGGTCATCCTGTTCAAAGCCTCTCAAAAGTTATGTTTAAAAGTGCCCCGTGAAAAGACCTAGCAGACTGCAATTTCTGAAGCCATATAGAAACCGTATCACAAAGCAAAGTTTAGTCATTGTGATTAGAGTGAATTTCGGTAGATCACAGCAAATTTTAGTTGATGACAGAGAGACTGTTGCTTGGAATTTGTTGAACATTATCATTTTGCATTCCATTAATTCATTCACTCTGTGCTGATGCTAAATAGTTTTGTTCCTTGTTATCCCCTGTAATAGAGTAAATTATTGGCATGACTGCACCTTATATTCACAGTACAGGTGACTTCTAAACACAAAATATCTTACTAAATCGTACTGAATAGAACTTATCAATTACGAACAATATAGATGGATCCTGTCAAGTAATTGCATCATGGGTCAACAGGGTACCAAAATAGGGTAGAGTTTAAGAACAAACTACTCAGATCAAAATTATGTAATGATGTAACATGCATTAACTAATATCTTTTCAATACACCTACGATCCACCAGGTCACCTTTTGTCCAGTAAGAATGTATTTACGGAGGAAATGCCTGCAATCGATTAGTTCCTCATAACTAATAACTAGGTTGATGAATTTTGATTCTTGCTGAAAATCTTAACATTTACACAGATTCGCTAAGACTGAAGAGTTAACTAATGATATAAATCAAATGAATTATTGTAGTGATGACGAATTTTCACTAATTTAAACTTTCTTAAGTGATAGAGGGTTAAGTTACTCACGAACGTGGGCATTGTTTAAGTGTGTCATTTTACAATGAACTCAGTTCAGCAATAAAATGAATACTTTTTTCTTGTGGAGTTTAAAGAGGACGTATTCTCATAATGGAAGTCTACTTTTTGCTCATTGCACACTAGCTCGTTACGCTTGATTGGAATGCTTAACACGTCCTCAAGTGAAGACGACGAATATGTCAGTTCAGCAGGAAATTTCGAGGATGAGGACCAAGCGAGGAGATGGTTAAATTATGAGGGTAGAAAGTAAGTTCATTTTAGTGAATTTATCGAGTTTTCAAACCACGATTCTTTTGGAAAGATAATTTTTGCACTTTAAAGGCTATGCAGCTCAGTGCCTCAGTCAATTAGTAAGTATTCTATACTGAAATTCGAGGCAACAAAACTCTGAGTATCCCTTTTTTGAAATTAGTCTTCACTCTTCAAACTACTTCAGTTTGTCTTTTCCGTTTATGAAGAATGTTTGTGATACTTAATTTGTTTTCAAACTGCGGTCCGATCTATTTCGGATATAACGTTTGAAATATATCATTGCCAAATTTCACAAAGACTTTATATTGAACCCATATAATTTTGAAACCCTTCACAGGCAATGCTCCTTAGTTTTCTATTCCCCTCAGGTCATGGTTAGTAACTACTCCTTGATGCTTATACTCCTCAGACATTAGCAAAGTAAAGTCCTATGCTGAGTAGTTGTACATCTTGTGAGTGACATGGATAGACACATTCTTGCTCATACTGATTTCTGAGGACTACTGCTTACTGCATTCAGTTAATAAATCCGTAATTGTTTATAATCATTCAGAGCTTAATGTCATTGACATACAATAGACAGAATGACTTAAGTATCAGCAGTGTCTCATGTACACTTAGTAGGCAGAGAAGAAGACTTAAAATTGCGCTTTGAAGAATGCCACTATTTGCTGGTTGAATTGGCTACCAAGTAACAATGATCCATACTCTCTGTCTCCTGTCCCTACGTAACTCTTGAATGCAATCTCAGTTTAACCTTATTTTCGTGAAACCAAAACTTTTAGGTATGTGAAAGCTTTAGAAATTTCATTATAACGGTAGTTATTGACAAGGATACCATGATAATGTTATTAGCTACAGACAAATAAATATGGTGACCTCATTATCATCCTTTCTATTGAGATTTTATGATGTGAAGCTTTCGGTGACATTCTTCTGAAGACTAAGAGGTACTTTTATGTTCTAACACGATTATTTCTGTGAAAACCGAAGTGCCTTAATACAAACTCGTTGTCAAACGCAAAATCAAGAGATTAAATAATCTAAAGGCGTGCTGTTAGAGTAGGTATATACATATGGGTACAATAAAGATTAGTATTGAGTTTTTGGAAAAAGTCTATCGATTTGTCTGCCTTGTAACAGCAGTGTTAGAGTATCTGAGACACAAAGGAAATACAAATTACCTTAAGAGCGTACTGAGCTGCATACTGGTTAAAATGCAACTTAATATGTATTTGGGTTCTCTCAGCTAGGTAGTTGAATTACAAGGCTTTAATTACCCTTCTAGACAAGATTTTAAGTGCTAGATTCAAATGTCAAGTTAGAATTACTGTTAGGTTGTGCTAGAAAATTGTTTTTCTTCAAAAGAATTTTGTTATTCACAGAGTGTCATGTACTAACCATGCTGATGATACAGGCGTTGTAACCTAACATACTACTTTTATCAAACACCCTGTCTATGCTTTGTTTGCGGTTGTTTTGTTGCCTCTTTTTCTAGTTTGCACAGAAGTTGGATGGTGAATAAAAGAGGTTTCGCTTCTGTCTAAAATGAGTTTACTTGCATTTATAAAGTTTGATTCCGATGTCCTTTAATAACCTGTTTTGAAGTACTAATTAGTCATAGACTGACCAGATTCAAATATGACTTATTACGGGATTAAATAGTTCCACCAATATCTTATTTACTTCTTGTGTATTACCACCTTTAAATAGAAAACTGATAGATGTAGCCTTCTTTGAAGACGTTTTGCTGGTTTTATTGCCTCCTGTTTTTTAAAATGCTTATTTATCAGCTCCTGAGGAGATCCACTTTTGGGTAAAATACTCTTCAGGGTCTTTATTTCATGATATTAGATGGTTGGAGGCAATCGGCCACAGGAAGCCCTGCTTGACCTAGATTTCGTGCTAGTTGGCACTCACTGGTCAACAAAGCGTATCTGCAACCTTGAAAGGACTCATGTCCCTTCTGAGACTCGAACCCGCGTTACCCAGTGCTGTCCTGAAGTCAGAGACGTTACCACTGAGCTATTCGGGCTAGCGATTGACCTCCTGTAGGACTCTATTGGATATTTTTCATTAGACACTAGCCAGTAACTAGTGTGATGTGTCTGGTCCTTTCTCTAATGCAGACTGAATTCTATTGTCGGTCAAGTGTGCAGTGTGGCCACCATTTTAGGTGACTCACCATCATGGTTCAAATTGATTCGATACTGATTGCCTCCAACCATCTAATATCATTAAATCAATGTGGACCATGATGGCGAGCTACCTAGAATAGTGGCCACATTGCAAACCTGACTGATGGAATTCAGTCTGCACCAAAGAAATGACTAGACAAATCGGATTAGTTGCTGACTAGTGTTCAATCAAATAATCTTTATTTCATGCTCAGTTTTACAGTTCTGATTGCGTCATTATTATTGAAACACATACTTGACATATTATGGACACCAAGAGACACACTATACAAAATCGCATTGTTAGTGTCAGGTCTAGGAGACTTTCCAGACGCCTACAGCAAAGCAGATGGATGTCTAAAGGGACCACACTGCAAGCCTTCAGTTTGAAGACTGATCCACAAGGCAGTGAAGTAGCGTCAGCAGCTACGCTCCGTTAGTTGATGGTGACCAAAACAGGTCCATATACACCATAGGTTTGAAATCTCAAAGTTCTCCACCTTCCCTAAATAGACTTGTATATCCACCAATCCGACGATAAGTATGAGACTTTTGTATTTGACCTTCCATTTTTATGAGGAAGACACACGCCGCGTGAATGCAGTGAATAAGACTTCCTTGTAAAAGGCTATGGACGTGTGGGTGCATGACAGCATTTCTAGAAGAAGAAAGAAGTCTACACGTGCTCCACCGTGCCATTTAGCTAATGAGGATTGAATAAGCTCCTCGTATACTGGATAGGAACAAAACCCTTAAAGTGTACACATCTTCCAGTTGATGAAGGTTTCTTAAATATAGATTTTCCACTGTGTCATTAATGTTTCTTGCCAGAGAGACATTGAGAAATTTCCTCATTTTCCTCATTTTGTATCTATCTGAACTTGACTCGTCTAGCGATGATTGATTCACTTGAGTTTAGATATGATGGAGATTTGTAGCTCAGCTGGGTGATTTTGATGTGGTTGTGGTCTCCGACCTAGATAGTTAATTTGCGAAGCTTTCATCGCCCCAACGCTAGGCGATATCTTCAGCGCATACTTCAAACTGAAGTATGCGCTGAAGATGTCACCCAGTAAGGTGATGAAAGCTTCGCGAACTAACTATCCAGCTCAGAGAACAAAACCACATCAAAATATATATATATATATATGATAACAAGACAAGTAGTTCAGTGAAGAGAATGTTTTCAGCGAATTCATTCTCTTCTCTAGCTGTATTCTCGCATTTGTTTACATAATATTTTCATGAAAAAAGGTCAGTAATAAAAGTGATGAGTTGTCACAAACATAGTTGTTAACATTAGCCAGTGCATAAAAGGAGATGAACAAGTAAGTGTGTTAGAGTTACGTAATACGATCAATAATTTAATGAATGAGCTGTATTCAGGAGACTATGCAAGAGATTTAAAGAAATGCAAAAGTTGTAAAGAGTTAGAAAGACAAACATACAAACAAACAAACAAACAAACAAAAATCAAGTGAGTAGAAATCAATAACAAGGTTGTGACCCTGATAGTAGAAATGGTTGAATAATTTTCTCTTATATGCATAGCTCCAGCTTGTCTAACTGAATGGCTAAGGCTTCATTAATACAGGGAAGGCGAAAGTGTTTATTGCCTTTGATAGGTGGTTATTCTTCACTTTGTAGATTACTTTGAAGCAGGAGGCGTTTGTTGACATAGAATAACCAGTGTTTGTTGACAAGGTGTTCGATCACTGTACTCCTCATGGAGGCACTGCTGCCTTTCTGCAACTATGTAGGACAATACCCCTAAAGTCTTTCAGACGGGATATCTGTCGAAAGAACAATATAGGTATCTCGCTCCACAGGAACAGGTTGACCGGTATATACAGATAGAAGTGGTTTGATGCGAGATCTTGTCCTTCAGGCTTCTGTGGACTTACTCTTAGCGTTGGTTCGAAGAATTCTCTTCTCTCAGAGATGTTGAAACTATTCTCATAGAAATATCGCAGATTAAATCTCCCTTGAAATGCAGGTTTATGTGAAGTTTTGTTTTTGTGGAATTATGGTTTGATATTCTTGTCAGTAAAATCTCAGTGGGTATCCATTTTAGACGGTGATTTCTTTCAGGGAATCATGTAACCCTTGAAAGTATGTTGCCATTTCTCAGTACATAAACACAATTAACTTTCGCGCTGTAGAAAACTGAAGAGGAATCAACGAAATAAATAAATTATGGTGTCATCTTATTCTTTACAAGCGTTTGTTCTTGTTTTATTTATATTCACTAAGGGGGATAAGTGTATGAACTTACTGTTTGGTAAACTGTTCTAATATGCCACATTCTTATGCTTAGTAATGCTCAATAAATTTAACGTGTTCTCTTACATATTCTAGTGCGTTGGTGATTTAGGGGTAGATTACTCACCCCCAACCACGCCACATGTGGTACGGGGTTGTATCCCCAGCCGATACCCCTCTAAGTTTCGCACTTAACCGGCAGTAAGCCGGTAATGAGGCCAGGTTGGGAGTGAGCCTAGAAACTGAACCCCTTAAATGAAGACAATCTTCAAAGCTTGAACCCCTTTTTCACTTGGGAAGTGTAGGAATTATAAAAATTCAGCTTACTTATTTTCATGAGTTTCTTTGTAGGAGTGTGATTGATTTTAAGTCTGACCACGGATTGAATTCAATCAGAGAAACACTAGCGAGGTCATCAAGGGGTACTGGGCAGTCACTTCGTCCTAGTCTGGGACTTGTCGACAGTACGTACCTGCCGGGGTTCGAACCCAGGACTTTCGGGCTACAAGTTGACGTCGTAGACGATTTAGTCACCGGGACCTTACTCAATGTCAC